GCTTGCCAAACATCCGAGAGATGGAAAGTCTAAAAAGCAGGATTTCACAAGGGATGAGTTTGTACAGCTATGCGAGGACTGGAAGGAGGTATATCAAGAAGCGATTATCAAAACGATACGCAGACTAGGTATCTCTCCAGACTGGGACCGCATTGCCTACACAAGGAGTGAGCCATTTTCCAAAGCGGTCAATGAGAGTTTCGTGCGGTTTTTCGAAGAGGGTCTCATCTACCGAGCTAATAAGCTTGTACATTGGTCATGTAGCCTCTCTACGTCTATATCTACGCTTGAAGTTGACCAAAAGGAGCTTCAAGGAAGTACCAAACTTAGTGTCCCTGGTTATGATAAAAAGATCGAATTTGGAACATTGACATATTTCAAGTATCCAATTGAAGGGTCTGATCAGACCATTGAAGTTGCAACAACAAGGCCAGAGACAATGCTGGGTGATACTGGCATTGCCGTGCATCCTCAGGACGATCGATACAAGGATTTCATTGGCAAGACTGCGCAACATCCGTTTATTCCCGATAGAAAGCTAAAGATCGTCGCTGACGAATATGTTGACAAAGAATTTGGAACTGGCGCTGTCAAACTAACACCTGCTCATGATCATAATGATTTCGATTTGGGCAAGAAACATAACCTGCCATTCATCAACATTTTGAACAAAGACGGTACTCTCAACAGCAATGCTGGTCCTTTTGCTGGAGAGAAGAGATTCAATGCGAGGTATGGTGTTATCAACGAACTCAAGAAACTCGGCCTCTATACGAAACAAGAGCCGAATAAGATGGTTGTACCCATATGCAGCCGATCGGGGGATATTATTGAGCCATTCCTGATACCCCAATGGTGGATGAGAACGAAATCATTGTCGAAAGCTGCAATGGAAGTAGTTGAAAATGGCGAGATCATTATCCAACCGAAGACACAAAAGGACCTATTCTTAGAAAGATTGCAAGATCCGGAGGACTGGTGCCTGTCGAGACAACTATGGTGGGGTCATCGAATACCGGTCTGGGCAATCAGTATCGAGGGTGAGGACTGTGGGAACGATGCTGATGAGGAGCACTGGGTATGTGGCCGGACAGAAAGCGAAGCTCGGGAAAAGGCAGAGCAAAAGTTCCCTGGCAAGAAAGTGACACTCAGGCAAGATGATGATGTATTAGATACCTGGTTCAGCTCTGCACTTTGGCCGTTTGCCACCCTTGGATGGCCAGTAAAGACATCAGATCTCGAAAATTACTTTCCGACTACAACTTTGGAGACAGGTTGGGATATCATGCCAGTCTGGGTCAGTCGTATGATCATGTTCTCTTTGAAATTGACTGGAAAGGTGCCGTTTACTGAAGTCTTCTGTCATGGTTTGGTACGCGATAATGAAGGCCGGAAAATGTCAAAGTCTCTTGGCAACGTTATCGACCCGATAGATATTCTTGATGGGATCAGCCTAGATGATTTGCGTCAAAAGTTGCTCCATGGAAACTTGCCTCAAAATGAAGTCAAGAATGCCATCAAATACCAAAAAAAGGCGTTTCCACAAGGTATTCCGAGATTTGGAGCTGACGTTTTGCGGTTCTCGCTCATAAGCCAAACTCAATCATCTGGCAGCGACATGAAAATCGATATGAGAACAATGACTGGCTCCTCTAGATTCTGTAACAAGATCTATCAGGCCACGAAATATGTCCTTGGAAAGCTTGGTAGTGATTTCGTCCCTCGAGAGAGCAGTGCTTTGACAGGAAATGAGAGTCTACCAGAGCGATGGATCTTAACAAAGATGAACACAGCTGTTAAACAAATTAACCAGGCACTAGAAGAGCGTAGGTTCGGTCTGTCGACCAAGATTAGTCAACGGTACCTGTACGATGAATTGTTTGATATCTATATCGAGAACTCGAAATCAATCATCTCAAATGGTACACCGGAAGAAGCTCGTTCAGCTATGGATACATTATATACCACAATCGAACATGGCTTACGACTCTTATCTCCCTTTATGCCCTTCTTGACCGAAGAGCTCTGGCAGCGGCTACCACGCAGACCAAACGACAACACACCTTCAATCACAATCGCTGAATATCCACAGTATGAGCCATCCTTTAATGACACGAAATCTGAGGTGGCTTATGAGCTCGTATTGGGCTGCTCTAAAGGTATCCGTTCACTGTTAGAAGACTACGCTGTTAAGGACGAAGGTGTGGTTCATATCTCCTGCCTTAATCAAATGTCGTACGATACTGTGTCAGCACAACTCTCTACGATTCAATCACTCTGCGCAATCCGACGCAAGACACCAGTGAAGATCAGTGTTGCGAAAGCTGGAGAAACCAAACCTACTGACTGTGCAGTTTTCCCTGTTTCAGCTGATGCAAACGTTTATCTTGAAGTCAAGAATCGCATACAAGATGCGGCGAAGGAGGCTGACAAGTTCAGAGTGAAGATAGATGAAGCAAGAAAAGAACAGGTTGATGTGCATACCATCAAAGCAGAGCTAAGCAAAGGTTCCGATACTATTCAATTTTACGAGAGCCGGGAGCGAGATATCGATGCAAGATTACAAGCATTACAAGAGGCTGTAGAGATGTTCGAGAAGATGAAGGTTTAGGCTGTGTGGCCCTGCTGGCTGACAGCATGACCAAAAAGTACCACCTCATAGCAGCATCTTACCAAGCTAGAATGCATAAAGGATTCTAATGAAGGAACGTGGGATGATGGGGAATCACAGTCAACAAGTGGCCGTCTTTCACTAACTAGAGCATAGAATGAGGCGCTAATGCTCGTTGTATATTAGAGAAATAGAGTCTTTCGAACTCTCTACTCATAATCAATAGTATAACCAATAACTCACTTCTTGATATGCGATGTGGTTTGTAATAAATGCAATAGATTACTTGATTTTATCATAATTTTTCATAATATGCGTGCCAAATAGGCTCTAACATTCACATGCCCCTTCCAATATTCTATTTACCATCTACTAATGACTTGAAGGCTTGCAACAGATCATCTCTCAAATCCTCCCATCCCTCAATTCCTACACTGACCCGCAATAATTTCTGATCAACAGTAGCATCTGACATTGCCCTCCACTCAATCAAACTCTCTACACCACCCAAACTCGTAGCATGATGAAACAATTCCAACTTGCTGGGTAACTTCTTCGCGAACCCTACTTCTTTCATGACAATGGAAAACACCGGTCCAAATCCATTTGGCATCTGCTTCAATAGCCACCCATCCTTGATATCCTCTTCTTGCAAACTTGCATGCTCAACTTTAAGCACCGCTTTCCTCACCACCTCTGTTTCGAGATCATTAGATTTCAAAGCATTATCCAACCACGAAACAAGATTCTGAGCTGAGGCCGATTGCTGCTTGACACGAATTTCCAGCGTTCGAACGCTGCGGATACCGAGCCATCCTTCCATCGAACCCATCACATTCCCCAGCACCACTCGCTCTTTCTGTAGCCCCTGAAACCAACCATCTGCAACGTGTTTGGGATTCACAGTGAGAACACCACAGAGCATGTCGGAATGTCCACCGATATACTTGGTGCCGCTATGCATGACGATATCTGCGCCCCAGAGAAACGGATCCTGCAGAGGCGGCGGCGCAAACGTCGCATCGACGGATAGGAACGCACCGCGGGAATGCGCCTTCTCGGCAAATAGAGCGAGGTTGTAGGCGGTGCCTTGGGGATTTAGCGGGGTTTCCACGTGGATGATATCGCCGGGGTGGAGATCCTCGGCGGGACAATCGAGAGGGAGTTTTTGGAGCCCGGTAAGTTTGGTGTGTAAGTCTATGACGCCGTGACAGCCGTGGTAACCTTCGCCGATGGAAATGCGTTTGGGGTTGAGGTAGACGAGAGCGGCGTGGAAGGCGGAGAGACCGGATGTATATGTGAGAGTGGGGCCTTTGAGAATGTTGCTTAGGATTGCTTCGAAGCGGGTGGTGTTGGGGGTGCTTATGCGGGAATAGATGTGGCTATCGTGTGGTGCGTGGGACTATCAAGTAGTATTAGTGATAAGATTTAGGGAATAGGAGGGAGATAGTATGCTGAGCAGGTAGATCATGTGATAGGAGTGTTCGAACGGACGGCGGGGTACTCACATCTAGCTCACTTATTGCAACGAGGTCGTCTGGATTGTTACTGTAGCGGAAAATGGTGGATACGTGTAGAGGTGGTGCGACATCTTGACCTTTGTTGAGGAAATCGTCGGCGTGTACGGTTTGGGAAGAGAGTGATAATGTAGAAAGTCCTTGATCGGGGGTGTGATCTTGGAGATCTTGTTGACCATTTAGACCGGGCTGAGAAGTTGCCATGGTTTTCTTGTTCTGTAGATTGCTTTACACTCTTGATATGCTTGTGTAGGTATGTAGTTGGATTTGAATAAATGTAATGAAATTAGTTCAAGAGACTTGAACGATTATTTGTATCGATAAAGATTCGTTGCCGGGTATCCTAGTCTCAAGTCGATGGAGTAAAAAAACTGGAGCTTTGAGATGAAGTAACCGCCACCAATTGCAGACTCATACATACTATACCACCTGATTATCAGATTCGAGAATGAATATTTTGAACGGAATATTTATGGATTGAGAAACAATTACATACCTATGTCTATATCTCTAATACTCAACAAAGTTACAAAGGCGTGAATCATAAGCTTTTTGCAGGTAAAAAACACAATCATTTCTCCGTACGCCCTTTTGTATCAACGATCACAATGGCGCAATTCACACGCCTTTGACAGTGACAATCATAACCGATTCTCCACAATTCGTTGCCCCAGTCCAGTCCTAGGTATCGCTAAGACTAAGTTCCCCTTTCGATTCAAATGCTACATACCTTGTACAAATGCTAAGAAACGATGAGCTTGTAGAAAGGGTCGAGAAGCTTGAAATTTAACTTTTAGATATTTGAGATACAGTAGTTAAATGCTCATCTGGAATTTAAATGATACATTTGCTGAGATAGACGGATAAAATGCTCAATTCGAATTTGTCACAGTCGCAGCTTGCAGTTTCTCTTCAAGCAGCTCCATTTCTTTCTTCATTATCTTTTTGTCCTTACACCGTTCTGCATTGTCGAAACTTACCAAAACCGCTTTATTTTGCGATATCAAGAACTTGTTCTCATCTAAGGAACCATGTATAATCCCCAATTTGTGTAATTGTCTGATGACGGTCTGGCAAAGAGATAGGTCGGCGATAGTAGCTCTCCTACCTTCAACATTTTCCGTTAGCAAACCTATCACGCGTCCACCTTCAGTTATATATCCAAGAAACTTGGGGATGAGGATATTGCGATTATGTAGCCAAGAATATACTTGGATTTCGGCGATATAGTTTGTTTCCCAGTAGAAGTTGGCAAATTTAGCACAGACTGGTTTGTCGAAGGCTGGGGATGATACCAGATGCACATTGGGGTCTAATTTTCGAATAAATTTGAGTGAGAGATAGTCAATATGACTTATTGGCTTATGAAACCATGAGCTATCAATTGTAGGGAGGGCAGCTTTGAAGGCTTCGACCACAGTTGGAATTCCATCTACTAAAGAGATTCGGGCCAGGTTCCAACTTTCGGCATCTCCTTCGGATGGCAATGGAGGTAATTTCTTTGAGAGAAGAGAAGGGGAGCAGAGATCTCTTGCGAGATAGGTTCCAGGATCAATTGTAATGTATTTGAAACGCTTTCCATCTACCAGAATCCGGAAGTAACTAGGTAGGATGTTCTCGATATTGGTATCTTGGTTCAGTATTTCGATTCGAAGATTGGACATCGTTAACGGCCAATTTCCATGGTGTGATGAAACAATGATGTCTCGTACTGCAATGGATTCGATCATAATCTTGTTTGCCAACAACTGTTCTTGTTTAACATTGAGTCTTCGGCCAATGTTTCTTTCTGATGCCTTCATATATTTCGGCTTCAATGCTTACCTAGGCCGTAGAAGAATCCTACGATTCATCAACCCGTTAATTGACACAGAAGGAATTGCCTTGCCACAAAACCACGAGTTGGTATGTTGGTGGCATTGTACCTCCTGTCTTGTCCTGGGGCGACCATATGAGGAATGCAAGATAGGTCATATACTTGCATATGTATGATGCTCAAGACAAATTGTCATCATTGTAGATGATCAGTCTGATGTTTGAAGTCTCGATATCATGTATTGTCGAATTGTGGAGACGGCGCTAGTCCCCGATTGACGTAGAAGTTATGATTTGTAAGCACTACACACCAACCTCAACATGTAATTTACTATGATACCAACAACATCTAAACAAACTCAAACACAATCAAAATTCATATTCTGAGACCGTCGATGACGTTCTCAGCAGTGTTGAGTTCGTTTCATGATAGTGTTGGTTTGATTCTATTCCTGTACAACTACCTCGCCACGTCGGTTTGTTGGCCCCCGACTGGCGACCACCACAAGGCCAAGGTCAATGAGGACAACGACTATCTCTCAGGCTATCATACCATACTCGCGCGGTTATTATTGCTCACAAAAAACTACACGCGATATATTCACGATCAGGTAGGCAGATGACTTGAAGAATGAACTCAGCGAGGCCGCGTCCATATATTATGGAGATCTCCAGCTGGCTTTCTTTCTGGTCTGATTTTCTCATTCAGTAATTATCTTATCAACTATCCAATCTTCAGTAGCCAACATGGTCTTTGGGTGGTCTTCCAGAACTGCTTTACCACCCACAGTTGGGTCAATAGATGGAAGGAATGGTCATGATTATACCTCTCTCCACTGTGTTTGTATGACCCGATTTCTTTCTCTTCCAACCCGTACTCGATAAACATGTGAGTCAACTGCGCCCTTATACAAAGCCGTACATTAGGTAGCTGTTTCTCGGATTTGAATGTAGTTTTCATATCTATTTTTGAATCTCATACTCCTGGATTTGATTCAAGATTAAGTTTTCTGTGGCCAAGAACAATTCTCTTTAACCTTCAAAATGACTTCCGAAGATTCAACACTCAAATCATCAAGACTTCACCACATAGACACATCATCTAATGGCGGTGTCTCTGGACCTTTCTGGGACTCAAACGAACGTTGCTTTTGGCTGATGAATAATCGTCAAGTCTACACGCATCCTGAAAATTATAGCGGAAGTTCCGCTTGCGCAACTATCGCATCCGCAAACCCTGATTCTGCTTACCCATCCGGCTGGTCTCGAGGTCAACGCACACGATCACTATCAGGTTCTGACAATTCGCCAGATTCAGCATCACATGAATCTAAACGCATTCGCCCGGAGTCCCTTGGCAGTGCACCCCCAAAGAATACACAATCCAAACAGCCTTTGCGCCAGGGTACTCCGGAACAACAACGCAAGTTTCCACAATACGATCTATCCAATCTTCCACCTCCACCCCCCTTTCCTCCTCAAAGATCCCAATCGGTTCGTTTTTCCCCAAATATATCTTATTCGGATGACCCTGTGAAAAAATATAACCCAGGACCATCCCTACCTAGCTTCCCTCAACGCTCTCAATCTGTACGTGTCTCAAACGAGAACGATCAAGGCTTCACTCGCTCCAGAAATCCATCCCCCTCGTCTCCCCCATCTTCCTCTTCACGTCCCCAACATAAACCCCTTCCCACCCGCCCCCAATCATTCCCAGCCCCAACCTCAGCACCATCATCATCATCATCAAACCCACCCTCAAAATCCACCTCTCCCTTCCCCACCCCCTACAGCACCCATCCCCCACCACCCGCTACATCCCTCCCAAATATCTCCGCGACCCCGAACACGAAGACGAAGATTTTTCCTCCCCCTCCTCCGCCTCCTCCGCCTACTCCTACTCCAAATCCCCCTCATCTTCATCCTCCTACTCATACCATCGCGTCCCCTCTTCCCGCGACCGCCACGAATCCCAACGTCAACGCACGCACCACCGTCACATCGAATACGACTACGACACCGATACCGATCTCTCCGATCAGAAAGAAAAGAAACTCAGAAGACAGAAACGCTCGCGTGAACGTACCCCGGATGAACAGAAGAAACACGAGAAAACTCTGAAAGGTATTGGAGAGACGGGAAGAGGAGATATGGGACGAGCGGCTTTGATGGGAGCCCTTCCTTTCGTGTGCCTTCTGGCGAGATTGGCGGCTTAATGTTTTTCTTTCCTCTCTTTCTATTTCTAGCTTGCTCACACTCTTTTACGTATTATTGGTTGGGTCTTGGGATTGGTTATTAGGAGGATAGATTTGATTTGGGATTTATGAATAAATTGTGGATTGACTGGTGAAGTGTTGGAGTTTGGGTGTGTCTACCTACATAGCCGTCATGCGGCAGCCACTCTTTCAGCGATTCATAAAAACAATAGGAGACAAACATTTATTTCGAAGAACTTAGAATCCTATCTTGTAAAAATCTTCCTTATATATTATCACGTTGATTCCTTCGTTCAACATTCCAGATGTGCTCTATCTTCGCTACGTAACCAAATCTATGTAACCAATGTAAAAATCCACGAAGAGAAAATAATTAAGAAAACCTAGTGATCATCCAGTGTCATAATGTCATTATACCTATGTGCATATCTCCTATTCCATCACATCCCGAGAATATCCCTTTGGCTCGGATCAAGAATGTAAATGTAACTCCACTCACGCCTCCTATCAATCTTCAATCAATTCGTCACATGACTACGCATTTTGCGGTATTCTTCTTCTGCTGCGGCTGCATCTCTGCATCTTCTACTACAATCGCTGGCGAAGTAGCAGGTCGCGAATCCCATGTTACGTCTGTCCAATCTGCACTACTTGCCGCATCACTTTTGTGCTTAGTTCTCTTTGCCATCATACTCTTTCTCCAGCCGTTTTTCTTAGCATTTTTGACATTTCGTGACGCACTGCGCTCTGCTCTGCTTGGTTGTCTGGTAATAGGTATCGGCGGTATATTGTAAGGTGAGGTGACTCGAGTAGAAGTTGCACTATGGATTGTCTCGAGACGTTGGAGAGGTGGACGTAAGCTGTTTGGCGATGCAGAATATTTTTGCGAACCAAGGCTGGTTCGTCGAGAAGGAGAGCCATGACCAGAAGGAGGACGAAGGCCTGTGTTCGGGCGAGTAGGGCTTGCTCCGTAAGTCCCACCAGTTGCACGGGGTGGTGTAGACAGGCGATTGGATTGCTCAGGAGCAGTATGAGAAGCTTGTTGAGATTGGTTGCTAAAACCTTGCAGTGGTACAGAATCTCGGGGGTTAGAGCCAGAACGACGTCGAGATGGATCTCTTAGAATATCTGGACGTCCACTTCGACTATTGAATCGCGCCAAAAGATCGGCACTTGGCATCACTAATCCAGAGACTTCGTCTACAGGAACCTCCACAGGTGCAGAATTGACTCTTCTCCAAATAGTGATAGGTTCATCGGTAGAGTCTGAGAGAGCTGAGCTGGAAGGAGTGTCCCCCACCCGAGGAAATCTTGAGCTTTGCTGTACAGCCCGTACATCGGGCGATCCTTGTGCTGGTACTATGGGTAAAGTAGAATTTAGTTGTGGAAGATCAGAGTCGTCTCTTTGTTCTCCGGCTATAGCGGTCGTAGGTCTGCTATTTTGCATAAGAGAGACTTGATCATCAACTGTTGTAGTTTCCCAATCTAGCAAGCGCCTGTCAAGCGTTGCATTCATAGGCTGAGGAATGGGGGAGACAGGCGATTGCAACGTGGCTCTCATAGACGAGTTTGTATTATAATCGAGCGTGCTATTCTCATCGTCGTTGAGTTCTACAGGAAGTCGGGAGCTCTGCTGGGGCAAGGGCCTTGTAAGGCTTGGCTGTGGAGTACCGATTGGGGAAACATCATAAAGGCTGTCAAAATCAGAGGTCGTAGGACGTTCATCAAAGTTTGCAATGGAAGGACTTGTCACTGGTCGAGCCACTTCGTCATCCACGGGGCTATTCATGGAAGGTGCAGTGGTTATATCGCTGAGGGACCGGCGAAAAGGGAACCTTTGCTCCCGTAAAGCTTCAGGAAGAGGTCGTTGAAGAACTGGGGCATCTAGTCCTGGGAAGTCAAGGACTGTAGCTCGTTGATTATTTGCTGCTTGCATGAGCCTCGCATGGTCCGCAAGTATAGATCTCTGAATGTGTTCAGGAAGTGGAGGGACCGGATCTTTTTGATAAGGAGGAGGCGGCGGCTCCCAGTTGTCTGCATCGCTTTCATGTGGATGCTCCTCGCGGCCATCTGCACGGCGGTACTCGATATGTTCCTGTATCAAAGAGCGAGGATGTAATCTTCTATTGACAGCAGCAGCTGTTGCAGCGCGGCGTAGAGTCGTACCTGAGCGAGGTGCGGCATTCGCATAAGGATCATCAAAAGCTTCTTGGTCATCATCGATAGAAGCCGTCTCTGCTGAATCAGTCGTATTTCCTAGGCTATTCATTTGTCTAGGCAAAGGCGGAAGCGGGACGTTAGATGAATTGCTCAAATTAGGCAGTGCAGGAATTGGCGGCGGTTCCGGGCGTGTCATAGTGGTAGCTGAACGAGCAATACTAGCACGGTAACTTCTTCTCTGTGCTACTGTTCTTCTTCTGACAATTGCCACCTCTGTGTCTATGTCCCTGTGTTCTTCCTCTAGGATTTCCGGGTCGTCTCGTTGGCCCACCTCTATGGTTGTTGTGGTTTTCTTGCCATTGCTCGTGCCACAGGAAAAATCTAGTATACAGATACGGCCGCCATCTACCGGACTCATACTATCATCCTCGTCTATGATGCATTGGCGTTTTACTCCTGGTGCGACAGCTATAAGTCTTTCACCTTGGAGCTGTTTTGATTCTTCTTGGACCCAGCTCAGTGCACTTACTCCGTCCAAAGTAGTTATATGATAGCCTTCAACAAATGTATTGCGCGACTTATCGCAGAGGAGTTGCCATTGTGGAATACGAATACTGCTATAGTCCAAAGATCGATTTACAGAGCGCAACGATGGGGCGCTGTTTCGACGTCCAATTTGACTCAGAGGTGTGCCTGGTGCGGTTTCTGCATTACTATTCGAGCCCGCAATAGCAGGTGTAGGATCCAAATTCTCCGGAATCCCCCAAAGCCAAACGCTACCTCGACTATAACCAACCGCCGCTAAATCTCCAGACTTGTTTGCTGCTGCTTTTGATGCAGGTGGTTCCCCATTGGGTCCAACAAAATGAACTTTACCATTGCGTAAATCATCCATCCTTACTGCCCGAAAAGTTTCAAAAACTCGATCATATGTAAAAGTCCAGCTTGCTTCGTCATCATGAGGACTGGGTAATAGGACTGCATGACTACAGTCTCGGCTACCAGTGGGGAAGAGTATTGAAGTTGTCCAAAGAGCACTTATGCTATCTTCAGGGGAGACGCTCCCGGGATCATAATATGGCGCGGTCAAGACGACGGTACTGGGGTTTCTAGACTGTAATGTGGTGCCCAAAAGTAAGTCAGAATCATGAGAAAAAGTCAAAGAGTCAACGCCATAGGCCTTTACAGCGCGACTTGTACCGATTTCACGCAGAGAAGTCAGTTCTACTCCAGAGCTATGAGCGGCGAGTTAGCAGCACTTCAATGAGTGTGAGGAACAGGGTAATAATGAAAGATATGGTCAAAAATTTCCGATATACTCAGAAGAAAAGTAATTGGCTACAAGGAACGTAGTAAAAAGGATGATTTAGGAAAAGTTATCTGATGCAATGCACTTACTCATAAGCCGCGGCAAGGACTTGTCCGGTTGGTGAAAGAGCGATGGTCCTTGGTGTATGATCTAGTGTTACAGACCTTGTATGCTTTGGTGGACGCACAGTTAGATCGTAAAGGTTGACCTGAAGATCGGTCGACAACACAGCAAGTAGAGATCCATCATCTGTAATTGTTGTCGCCGCTGGTCGTCGCAAGATCTTAAGTTCTCGTATGATGTGAACCTCCGGGGCCGTAACATCTATTATGTGAATTCGAGACGAATTATAGGCTAGAACCAGAACTCCACGAGGAGAGATGGAAAAATGGCAGGCCTCACCTCCAGGCGCACTGGAGGAGCCTATCGACGTCGAAACTAAATTGATGACCGTCTCTTTGGGTCGTAAATATGCTTCGAATAAATTACGCCTGACCTCTTGGGCGAATAGACCCCGCAGACGTGGAAGACTGTCCTTATCTTCTAAAGCAGGATTTGTTTTATGTGCGGCCGAGTAGGAAGGGCATTGGGTGAGTTGATGCGAGTAAAGGTAGGCTTGTTGCGAGATGCCCCTCCATCTTGAATTCAGTAGAACGAGAGAGGCAAAGGTATTGGCATTGGTAAGGAGAAGGATTCTATAAAATATGATTAGATGTTTTACATAACATTTTTGGTTGATGCGCTCACTGTAGAATAATGTCTTCCGGAAGCCTTTCAAATGCGCTTTTCTCCATCTTGGATGTTTTTGACAATTGTTCCTCAGATCCCACAGAAGGGATTGAACTTATCGACGCACTTCTATTCGACATTTTATTTTAATTGAAGTCTATTGTCGTAAATTCATCTGCGCTGAATTAGAATTACTGTAAGGGAAAAGTATCCGGGAGGGTAAATCTGGCTCGCAGATTCGCATGCGCAAATACGAGTTCGTGGATCTCGACAGGAATATTAATTGAGCTTAAAGCTTAATGCATAATGTAAGATTGATGTGACAGGAAAGTTCGCTTGAAACATGGTTGTAGCTAAGCCTCCAAGGCTATTAAGGCTATCTTCTCTTTCTGAGTGAATATTATTAAATTCAAGCGCCTTCACAGCTAACTGAGGGTGTAACAAGATCAAAGTTATAAGCAACGAAAGATTGCCTGGGGATCAGAGATGATCGACGTCGCATCAACAATCGAGGGGGTCCAGCTTCCAATAATAGCACAAGTAAGGATTGGGGTAGAAGAACTTTTATTTTTGAGGGTTATACGACTCGTACACACAAATGAAATAGGTAGTATGAAGGGGCGAGAAGCTGATATCTTTTGAAGTCGAAGACATCATTCCTTGTAAATGAGTAGGTAGGCGTATCTTCTATTGTCTGATATCTACGATATATATCTATCAATTCCATGTTTACTGTATCATGTATGTAGCCCCTGAACCTTTTGTCTAATCAAGATCAAAGGATCAAAATACTTCCTACCACCACATACCTAAGTACCCTCGTACCTAGAACGGCAAATTGAAGGATCTCCATTTCAGGTACAAATCAAAATCCTAGACGCTCGGGAAAATGGATCTATGGGTTCTTACGAATGAGAAGTCACATATAAAAGCTCGTGGTACAAGGTCCCACCCAATCATGATATCTACCGCCCAATAAAGTTTCGGCCTCGACGCTTTGCAGGTGTTGAACTCATGAAGACTCTCTTTTTTGTTGGGTATATCTACTGGATACCTGGGATCTAACAGTTGGTCCATATATCACCAATTGTTATCCAATCGACTAGATATATGGTGCGCCATGATATCGGCCGAAGCATCAGAGAGAATCACGTACCTACCGAGCACACATAGATAGATGTGATTCAACCATAGCAGACTACGATCCTATGAAGAAGAAGTACCTACCTGTCTACTTTGATGTCTAGATATCTGGGAATAGCTCAAATTATAGATCCCATTCGTCTAAATAGATAAGACATCGATATCGGTATCGGCATCTTGCAGTACGCACGCTTATTATTATGGTGGCCCGTACGTATCTACATCGTGTTCTCGCCGTTCTTCTGACCGTTCACGTGATGGAGAGGATCTCATCTTTTGTATTACATAATTCATTATTCAAGTCCCCTTATTAGTCATTATATGGAGACTTTCATCACTTTTAGACTGAAGCTAAGCTCGAGCAAATTTTAGCTCCGCGAGGCCCTTTTCTTGCTTTCCAATCTTCATTCCACCTTCCATCTTTCCATCTTCGCATCTTCGCATCTTCTCATAACTACACATTTTTTCATGAACCTTATCATTTCTTTTTCATTGTCTCCTTCTCTCTGTACATCATGCCATTGCAAGACCTTGATTATGAGGAACTTACCAATACCTTAATTAACAACTTTAATATTTTAGCAGACGAAGTCCAACTTCTAAGTGACAGAAAAACCATTCTAGAACACAAACTGCGATATTCGCATTCTCAAGTAAGTTTGAATATTTTCTTTACAAATCACATCCCCCTCATGTCTTTTTAATGATGTACACAAATAGCTCTAGAACAAAGTTACTTGTTGCAAAGTAGCAATGCCGATAAACTACCAAATCGTCTGAATTTTTTGACTCAACGTCATTATGATTTTTGAACTAGTTTTGCGCAACCAAGACTAACAAACACCTTCATAGTATCAATCTTTGGCAGATAAATATGCCCCCTCAGACCCTGAGATAGCTAGTACACTGGCAAAGCTTCAACTTCCTCCAGATTTACAAGTAACTGTTCCTGATCGTGGTGGGTTTGTTCCTTTGCCACTTCGTAAGCAACCAACCTCGAAGCAGCAGACTGCCGTTGCAATAAGGGACGGGAGAAAGGCAGCGCAGCGTCTTGCGGCTTTATCTGGAAAGTCTGCCGGATCTACAACTAGTAAAAGTATATCCGGGGGAAGTAGTAATATGAGATTTTCAGCACATCGAACCTCCCTTTCAACTGTTCTCGAACAAGATTTTACTGTGCCTGGAAAGAAGAGTTCATTATTGTGTCCATTTGTAACTATGCCTGACGGAACGAAATCCATGAAGAACCCAAATGCTCAGGATACCAGCACTGGTGAATCCGATCAATCTTTGACTCCTATCGATAACCAAGACCCCACTCCCCACCACTCCTCAGATCCTATATGTGCGCAAATGTACGCCGAGACGATGTCGTCCCCGCCCCCATCAGCATCAGGCCCTGGAGCTCAATGTCCAATTCGATATCTTAATCAGCATTCGCCTGAAGAGATAGCACGATACTTTGAAATTCACAAACACGAAGTTCCCCGCAGTCATGAAGTTTGCGTCAAGCGATATCAACGAAATGAGGATGATGTGAGGATGCTAGATGCAAAATATGGAAACCTTGTGAGCATGATCCAGGGACTGGGACAAAAACATCAGCCAATGTTACCTACAAAGGAAGAGCAAGAAGCATATGAGGTTGAGCGCGCCTCCAATGAGAGAGTGGAGAATTGGGCAAATAATGTCAGTGTTGATGGCAATGATTCGCTGCCTGGATCTCAATCTACTCCCGCAGACGACAGAGAAAGCCGCTTTGACAGGCCAATGAAGGAAGTTCGGGTTGGGGAATCCCCAAGCAGACCATGGGGAATCTCTGTTCCAATATATGATCAACCACCAGACCACAGACCTGTGTCTCCACCACCAGCGCCTGTATCGATTCCTCTGGACAGTTATTCAAAACCTCCTGGAAAGTGTCCATTTGGGCATACTGCAGGATCGAATGCGCAACCAAAATCAACGCAAGAATTACCAGCGACTCCAGTTGATGCACAAAGACCGACAGGTTGTCCCTTTAGCCAAGGTCAAAAGGCTAATAAAGAAGAGTCCCCCTCTACAAACTACGATGCGCCTCCCATACTACACGACCAACCGACCTTCATCCAACCCGAACAACTCCAGATGCAGGGTAATGGACCAAAGATGGTTTTTACAGGGCCCGTGTTCATAGGATACCCGATCGAACAGGCAGTGGCTTTCATGAAACAGTACCAGGCACAAAATGAATGAATATACGATTTGATGACGAATTATTGATAGCGAATGGTTTTGGGATCTGGATTTTAGCGATGGCGTTTTAGCGGTGCATCAGGAGCGGATGCAAATGGCGTTCTTTTGTATGAGTATCATTCTGTTCTCTGCACAACACGGGATGGATGCTTTTGGCCGAGACAGACACACATTAGGTTAACTTTATAGTGAACAAGGGTCATGAAATACCACGAATTAAAATGTTCAAATCAAATAATACAAAGATGCTACAGAGCAAGCAAATGTCTTCATTGCATCTTAAGACGTTGATGGTGTCAAAGGCTTTTTACTCTTTTAACTTGTGACTAGATGTCATCATCGTCTTCTAACGTAAAGAAGACATGCATAAACCATATACCCTTTAATCATTTCCTTCTTCCGAACGCCAAATTGTGGTGACACCATCAGACCCAACCAAACCCAGTACGTATCCAGCATACATTTCATACAATATGCCTCGTCATGAATTACATATCAAACCCCCAAAGGAAATCTAAGTTCTCGTTGTCTTTCCCTTCCTCCCAATATCCGCTTCCTCATCTAAATCCCCACTTGCAAAAACATCACCCTCATCTTCATCTATAAAATCCGTGTATCCCGTCTGTGCATCGTTGTCCCATAAAGATATATCATCATCATTCATCAACGCCGCATCATCACTGTTAGCATCGCTGTATTCTGCGGCGACTCTTCTCCCAGCAGCCACATCCCCATTTGCAGCTTCGAGCTCCTCGATCTCGAGTTCTTTGGCGCGCGCCATGGTGCGCTGGTAGATTATATAGCCGACGGTGGCGCCGAGTCCAGCTCCGATGATTATACTGGCGTAGTTTATTAGTTTGGTGGAGGTATCCATTTCTTCATCGCCGGCAAGTGAGCCCAGACGACTGCCGATGAAAACGTGGATGAAGAGTTTGGGGGTTACCAAGGCGGTAGCGAGAGCATAGTTGAGGGGATGTACGGTGGGGAAAGTGGCGATGGCGGCGTTGGAGAGGGAGTATGGGAGGGGACAGAGACGGATCATGCAGAGAATCTTGATGCCGTCGTGTTTGAGAGTGAGGGCAAGAGCTTCAAAGCGTTTATCTTTTCCCACGAGACGATGTACATAGCTCGAGAGAATGGTTCGGGAAGCTAGGAATGAACAGAGAGAACCTGCTATTGTTGCGCTCGCCACAATGATCCAGCCCTTGGGAACTCCGAAGACAAATCCGGCAATGGTTATGGTGGAGGAATAGCCGATGAGAGGTGGAAATGCGGCGACGAATGTCATGGCCCATAGAATCATCCAGCCTCCCCGCATATCCCGCCAGCGTTCTGCGAATGGAGCAAGACTGGCGAAGATTTGATGTTGATAGACTAGAAATAGAACGACGAGGATAATATTTAGAATCGCGGCCATAATGGCCAGACATTTTTGTAGAAGAGAAAGCTTTTGCCATGTTGAAACGAGCTTTCGTTGTAATTTATCGGCCTTGCGGAGAATTTGATCTTTGAGGGAATTGGTAGGTTGGCTTGAATATGGCGAGGCTGAATTGTTTCCTCTTCGCACATTGGAAGATATACGCCTGGACCATGGCGGTCTTTCTGCGTGTTGATCTGGAGAGGAAGGAGACTCGAGAGGACTTATGGGTAAAGCTAAAGCTCTCGCGGTCGAGCTGTAATCGGCCGGCATTGTGGAAGTTGTTCGATATGTGTTTGTAATATGAACACCGAAATGGTAGATTGTTGATTGATGATTCGGTTTCTGTGGCTCATAAATCGAAAGTTGGGCGATGGAAAGAGCTAAAGTATCGTCGCAAGATGCATTGATGATATCGTCAAAGGGAAGACGTTGTTTGGTAAATGGTTTCTGCCCAGCATGTAGGTAGGGTCTCGAGGGCTGTGCTGATGGATTTTTTGAAACGGCGGAGAACGGAGATGCAATGCTCACTAATAGCGTAGCTCGTATTTTAGGATAGGAAAGCAAAGGATGGTATGAAAGAATAGCAAAATGAAAATGAACTTCTCACAATAATACAAACATACTGGTTAGAAAGATGTTGGTTTTGAAGAATTACCTAGGAGGACTAATAAGTGGTATGTGTATGTGTATGTGTATGTGTATAAATGCATCTTCTGTATCTCATCCTAAAGTATGATTTTGTAACGGTTACCTCCAACGCGACGCCGCACTCTTGCTTCTACGTCACTTGTGTCTCTGAATATCAATCCCTACAATTGATGAATAGGTACCTACCTACCTACCGAGGATTCAATTCAAGCTTTTATGAGGGGTCGTGGAGATCAATCACATGATGAATGGTTTGGCAGAGCAGCGAATTGTGAAAAGGGGTTGTGTATAGGTAGTAGGTACCGAGTAGGTAGATAGTAGTCATGTATGTATGTCCTCTTGGGACCGAGTTGAATCGTTTGCAGCGGAAAGGAAATATCAATCGCGAAGGAGACATTATTATGTTTATGATAATCATAAGTCTAGGTACAAAGCTAGTGACATCTCGTGGAAAGAAGTGTTACAACAGGGGCTTTTCAGGTACACCCCTTGTACAGAAATATAAGTAGTTCACAGTCAGAAAAGCCTCGAACTTGAAGTGTATGTATGTAGGTTGGTATGTAGTATGTATATAACCTCAAATCGTCAAAGTAAGCAAAAAGTTATATTAACACAAAGATGCTCAAGTAGTAGTATTGTGTGGTATTGTACTTCATTGTCCTTCGTATTCTTCATTGATATTACTCCTTCATACTCCTGCTTCTGCAGCTATATATATATATATACTCCTAGCTATGCTTTTTTCTCACCTCACCGCTTGCATGGCTGTCCGGTCTGTCTAGTCAGCACATCAACACATATATCCAATACATTCATTCGTTCGACCTCTCCCCTATCCTCTCCTTGTGTTAGAATATATCATCACTCCGGACTATATTTTGCTTGGCTCAATTCTTGCTGTACAAATCGGATCGACCCAGCATTCCAGCCAATTAACTTCCATTTCTTCTAGAAACTAAAGGAAACCCCGACCCCGATAGGCCAGCCTCATCATCTTATGGAGAGCTAGAGGTGCTGTCCGACATTCCAAAACCCCACGAATCTACCTGTCGAAAAACACAATTTGGAAATAAATCCCCTTTCTTTCTCTTTGCTTCCTTTTCTCAAACCAAATCCATGTTCGCTCGGAAAAAGAAAAGTATCTTCTCTCCCATCATTCATCTGACAATGTAAGAGCCTGGTGCCTTTGTTGTGTCGAGCCTTGCTACGGATCACCGTATTGTCTTGCCTTACTGCGTACATCTTTCGAGGTGTCTTTCCCTGATCGAATCATCAATTGCGAACTCCGGTCTCACCTACCTTACATTTCTTAAAACCCCCCCCCCCTCAACAACTATCTTTTTTTATAAACTTTCTACGCTTTCATTTTTTCCTTCTGCTTCCTGCGAAACACCACCTTTCTGAAAGCCATACAATAATCTAATCCGATCGTTGCTCAAAGACCCTTGGCAAAAATGGTGGCCGACGATATTTATGAGATCTGCCTGCCTATCCTCGAAGATGCTACCCTAGAGGACGAAGACAAGACGGATAAATTGGAGGACTTGCTAAAGAATGAAACTGCAATGACAGGAACAGTTTTGGAGAATGCTGTGTTAGATGTATTATGGCGATATCGCGAGAGCGCTGCAAATGCCGCCAACTCACCACCCGCAATGCGACATACAGTCCTGCGTCGGCCATCCCCTGCTCCATGGCAGATTCCGCGTGGTGGAACACCATTATCTTCATCCCCTCGACTTGGAGTCAGTCCCCTCGCTCCCCATGGGTTTATGCCGCAATCATTTTCTCGAACAAAGTCTATCCAGGGTTCCCCTTTTACCTCACCGCGACCCTCCCCACGACTCGCATTTTCCAGCCCTGCGATCCCTCATAGTCCAAACCTGAACGCATACGAGTTTCCGACTGACACTAGCCCTACGCAAGACATATATGGAGATTACGGAAGTGAAAATGTAGACTGGCTTGTGAATGATGATGCCGTTAGTATCACATCATCGTCCGTCGGAGGAAGTGGCCTCAACGCTGCTGCAGCTGAATACATTTCGCCCCAACAAAGCGATATGAGCTCTCATGAAATGTTACGGTCCATTTTTGGCCCCTCGAAATCAGTTGAAGAAATCGAGGCTGCACTTGCTTTACACGGATACGACTTGAGCGCTACTATTGCTGCTTTCATGGATAGTCAATCTGCCGAAGCTGCAGTACAAGCAGATGGAGATGGTACAAAAGCCATTCTAATTGGTAAGTCAATGGCAGCGGACGTGCCTCGACCGAACACGCCGGCTGGGCAACAACGAAGTGGTGTTGTCTGTCGATTTTGGTTGTCTACTGGACAATGTCTTCGCGCGGATTGTAGATTTAGTCATGATTTGAGTAATCACATTTGCAAGTAAGTTTTATCCTATTCCTATAGATTTACGCCCCTCATTTTTATGCAGGTATTGGGTCATGGGCAATTGCCTTGCGGGAGACACATGCATCTTTAGCCACGATCCCTCATCGTTTATGAGCCGACTCTCTCTTGAAGGTGGTAGCACGCCCCCAACTTCAAATGCACAACCCAGTTTCCAGTTCCAAGATTACAATGCATTCCCATCTTTACAATCAATGCAAGAGCAGTGGCCAAACTCTTATTCATCGACGAATGCTTTCAGCAACTATCAACAAGGCGGTTTCACTCCACCGCCTGGTTTCAAAAGTCTACACGGTTATAACAGTGATGGAAGTCAGCGATCTCGACCAAGTAGTCGAGCTAGAGATGCTCCCACAGCTCCAGCTCTTGATGATACAGAAGCATTTCCATCGTTGGGCGCTGTGAGTACAAAGGGCAAAAAGCATCACGGAAAACGAGGTGGTCATGGGCACAACCACAAAGAAAACAACAGCCCAAGCTCCCTTGCCGATGTGGTAAAGCTATCTCCTTCACCAG